CCTTGAAAGATGAAGCCCTTCTAAAGGAGGAGATAGTATTCCAGAGAAAAATCTGACACGAGTACTCCAAGTGAAACTTTCATTCTCCTATTCAAGCAACCAACTCTTCAGATCACCCAACTAGGAACTCACATATTCGTCGCCTCCTACTTGTCAGCTGATCCTTTTGACCGCATTAACCTTCCCAAGTCTGATTAGAGAGCGATTTTGTTGTGCTTGCAAAATTTATAGCTATTAGCATCCCCCCGACTCAGCGCGAGATAGTCGGGGTTACATTGAGCGAAGGGAGAGAAGAAAGAAGGAAGTGCCTGCCGTCGGCATGCCTGAGCCGCGGCGTGGGGACGGTAGCCACTCTTCACACATCGATCCAGTCATGCACTGTTGTGGCCGATGAGGTGAAGGGAGGGGCGTTGCGTGTTTCGACACGACGAGAATCCACCAATGAGAAGATTACAATTACACCTGCACTCATAAAGGAAGGAACAAGAAAAGATTACCGTTGAGATAAGAATGAAGGCGCAACGGAATAAGAGTGCAAGACAGATCGCAGAAGTACGCATGAGAGTAAGAAGCACCACAAAACACGACAACCCCAAAATCCTAATAATATAATTAAAGTCCTAATTCCGATTGCTCCCGCATTCTTCCCCCAGTGTTCAAAAATATAAAAAGACTTTGCTGCGCGATGACCGCGCCAAAATTCCCTTCTCCGTTCCCAAAAGAACAATGAAGAGGCCGCGTCAACCGTTATTTCTGCGCTCGCTAAGGCGCGTCCGAACTAGCAACCACCATGGGACCAAGTTTTCACAAAACAAAGAAGAAAAGAATGGGGCCACTTGTGTAATTGGATCATGATGCCCCTTCGCCCAACCCCCATAGCGCAATCGCGCAGAAAGTAGCACTAGTCAGAAGATAAATCGTCACACAGATGTCACATGTCCTCACACCCTTGCCCTGAGGACGAGCCTCGTCTCTCCAGAAAATCGAGTGCAGAATTCTCCAGATGAGTATCTCCCTCCCCTACCCCCTCCCCTTCCCCCCCCCCTCCTCCAACCGCAATTGAGGAAAGGAGCTCTGCATCCAAAGGGAATACAAGGAGGACAGTATACGGTCGGCCACTCCAGTTCTCCAAACCTCTGATCTCACTCTGCAACAACAGACATCCGGAGGCTTGGGAAACGGGACGCAGTTTCTACTCTTCGGGTAGCTGGGCATTAACCTTGTTCATCGGGCATACTTTTCGACGCGCAGAACTGGATTACTCACCCGGAGACACAAAACACCGGTGTGGGCATAGGGGCATAGTCTCTCTTATAGAATTGCCCTCCTCAGCCCACCGCAGATGATTTCGTTCGCCTCAGAAATTACCTGTCTTACTCACGGGTACCACCATATTCCTGCATGTTGATCTTCCCTATTATCATCCGACATCGTGTTGCTTGCTGTTACATCTCTTACATCTCATTGCATAGCGCTAGGCTTGAGGGATTGCGTGAGTCGTGTGCACGGGTGCAGGGAGGGCTTAGCGTTTAAAAGGGTTTAAAAAGGGACAACACATAGCAACAACAATCAGGGGGGCGGCAGAACAGGGCTGGTTCATTAGATAAGGGGTGTTCTGGCGGCTCTCTCACCACTGCCCGTATAGAGGGCTTACAAAGGGGCTATTTCCTATTGAAAATAGTAAAAAAAGAGCAGAATTTTCAGCAACCTGTTTTTTTTTTTAAATGAACAGTTTATTACAGCCCCAGTGCCCAAGACAGTACATAGAATGAAGATAGCCAAAAGTAAGCACAGAAAATTTTATCAGGAGCAGAATACTCAGCAACTTTTTTTTTTTTTAAATGAACAGTTTATTACAGGCCCAGTGCCCAAGGCAGTACATAGAATGAAGATAGTTAAAATAAGCAGACGTCAACTGGCCACGGACCCTCAGCCTCAGGCTGAGCCTCACCTCTGCGGCAAAATCAGGAGCCAAATTCTCAGTTCCCTTTTTTTGGGGGGTTAAAAGAACAGTTTATCACAGGCCTAGTGCCCAAGGCAGTACATAGAATGAAGATAGCCAAAAATACCCAGACGTCGAGTGGCCTCAGACCGATCACCCTCAGGCTGAGCCTCAC